TATTATTAGCTGAAAATCTGTTTCTGCTGCACCAGAATTTCATTTATTTTGTTTTTTTGCCAAAAACTAGATCCAGTCGTTGTAACGGCGAAAAAGAAGAGCCCAAAAATTTCTAATGTAGAGCATTTCAGTAGCTTCCACACATACAAAAGCGTTCATGCTTTCTGGTAATTTCTCAACTGTGAAATTAAACACTGCGAAACAGATGGAATGAACTGAATTTTTCGAATACTTTTTTTTATTTTGACTAAATGTAAATTTACCTGGAGTACCTGGAACAGCTGTGTTAATTCGTATTCGGATTCATCCAACTTCGCAACTGACAACTTCCCCATCACTGTTGTAAAATTACCTTGGAAAAACCCATTTGATTTTGTAAAATTGCCCGAAGACAAAGTAAAAAACGGCGAATTTCACAATATGTCGTTGTAAAATCAACGATCTTTGGTGTGCGTGTGCGCACGTGAGAATTACTGGTTATTGGTATTTTTTGAAATTCTGCACTTAATTCACCGATTATCCGAGATCATATGGGTTTTTCTTGAATTTTTCCAGTATTTTTTTCGTTAAAATTTTTATCGAGAGTATTTGCAGCGGCTCTTAATACATAGTCTATTTCTGCAGCTATTTAAGTGGCAGTCTTTCCTATTAGTTCTGCAAAATTACTTCAAAAAAGCACCCGACTTTGTTAAATTACCCAAAAAGGAAGAAGAGACTGTAAATTTGCACCGCCGTTCTTTGCAAAATTTTTGGTTCTTTTGCATGAAGAAGGGTGATTTAAAGTAATTTCTGATCGCTGCATCAAAATTGCTTTTTATTTTTTGGCTGTTGATCGCATCGATGGATCTGAATTGATTGATCACTGAACTGCATGTTGTTGATGCCGTTGCAGCGATCATTCACGTGGCTCGTAATCCTCTTTTCAGTCCTCTGAGCTTTAGGCCAAATCGAAATGTGTGTCAACCGAGATGACGTAAGAGCAAGTAACGAATGTTGTCGTTCAAATTGTTGAAGATGACTCGGAAAACCGGTCCCTCTACGATTCGTTTCGATGGTAAATTGGTACCAATGCATGCCATTAGCTTGATTCTAGGAAAATTTTGCAAATCAGGAGCCTATCGACATCTTTTCCAGTAGGTGATTGCTGTTGTTGGCGCATGCTGCTAACCATTGAAGCCAGTTCCGAGTGTATCTTAGTATCTCAGTGAGAGTGAATTTGGGATTTTTGACTTTTTGCTGAAAAAAAATTTCGCATCGATTTTGCAAGCAGCTTTGAAGTAGCCTTAATGAAAGCATGTGGTGGACGTATAAATGTAGAACGTGTTTTTTGTTTTGTATGGAAAAGCGACCCGTACTTGTTGGAGGTTTTTTTGCACTTGACTCGGGACGTATCCAGAAGCGGACTTCGACCCTCTGCTGATGTTTTGACAAGCACATCTCGTTGCATTTGGGCTCCGACACGGTGCTACCAGTGTGCATTTTTATCCTAAATAATTCATTATTTGTCCAGCTCTTGTGAGCCTCTTGGGATCATGCTTTTGGGGCATATTTCAGTGTTTTTTGTGCCATCGATTTTCGGAAGCCCAGCTGTGTCGTCTGTATTGCCAGCAGGGCCCAAAATCGCCGACCTCAGCACTCCGCTCTCCTCCTACTTCCTTCATTTTATCGTTTCCTCATTTCCCTCATCGAAAATGTTTTTTCGTTTTTGCCAACACCAGATGCTTGCTTTTATCAGTAAAACCTCAGTTATCAGTGGAATCGTAATTCGCTCACTAGGCATCTAAACTTTTCTTTTTTTTTTGGTTGTAGCTCTAGGTAGAACAAATTGCTTGACGAATCTGTGATTCCAACATTGCTGATTTCAGTAGCTTCCCCGTTTCTCACTTCTGATTGAACACTCCTGTGCTCTTATTAAGTGCTTAGCAGATTCAACGAAACCAGGTCTTTTTGACATCCCGTAATACTTAGAACAGTTGATAATTCATTGTCTGGCTCTTCGTCTAAGCATCTGACAACTTTTTCAGCCACTCCGACCAATGCTGCATCGGCTGATAATCAGCTTTTGGCGATTCTGACTTCCTCTTTTTTGTCCCGAAAGTTTTACCAGAATGGTGGTGCTGAACAAGTTCTCTGGACAAAATCACTGCAAGGCTGTAGATGCTTGAAAATGTTTTTAGAGTGTACTGAGCATCACCACCTCGTCTTGAACGCTACCACTTTTTGCCTAAATTCATATCTTGAGGCAAAAAGTAGAAATATGAACCTATGTTTACATCACATTGAGGCAAAAAGTGAAAATTTAAACTTATGCTCCTCGTCATTTTGCGACCAGAAGTGTAAATATGAGCCTAAAACGTCATCAGCTTGAGGAAAAGAGGGAGAAATGTGAGGAACATTTCCGAGTTAGCATCTTTTGAGAGGTAATACGGATTATACTGGAAACATCGACTACGTCGGGATGCTTGCGCTGCGTTTTGGTCGGTAACTCTGATCCTTCCCACTGTCAGTGCCGGTGATCGTCTCTCGATGGCTATTGTGACCACCGGGTGGTCATCCTTAGGCTTAGTTGAAGTAATCAAATTCTTCTGAATTCCAAAAATTACCAAAATCATCCTACCTCGTCATCAGAAGAGAAGCAGCCATGCGAGAAAGTAAAATCCGATGAACAGGGCATGCTCCTTGTTATGGTGCCAACCGATAAGCGGCAAACACTAATGAGTGGGACTTGCGAAAAAATGAAATCTAAGAGGCAGAGCGTGAAAAACATAGCACTCCGATGTATTACGTATCAGCATAATTGACGTTCTTTTAATTTCTTCCGGTCATTTTAGAGTACAGCTGGTAATATGGATGGCATTTTCAATAACCGAAGGCTATTCGTTGCACCTCGCAATGGAGCTGTATTGGTAAGCGGTGATCGTCTGCGAGATCCACGAAACGTGAGCATTCTTGACGGTGATCCAACCTTCTCCGCCTATGTCTGCACACCACCGCAGCATCAATATCGCGATGATTTTTCGTTTTCAAGGTAAATTTCAATTATTTTTTTAGCTTTTAAACTTGTTTCCCTTTTTTTTGCTTTTCTTTATGCCAAGATTAAAAGTACTTGAACCACTTGGACAGTCTTTGTGGGGATCCCATTTTAATATTGTTACTGGGATCTTCTACGGGGATGGGCGCAGCTCTGACGGGATCCCCGATCTTGAGATCCACAAAAGCTACAGAGCTCAAACTTTGGTGACTTAATCTACACGTACGTGCGAGCCTCTATTCTCAAAATGGTCTTCTCACGTCTGCGTAGTTTTCACGTAGGGGCACGAAAGTTCTCCTGACGGGAAAGCGTTTTCGGAAGCTGCATACCTTCAGCTAGTACTCCCCGCCTGTTTGCTATGCGCCACCTTTTCGGACGCCGTCTGAGTCGTCGTTTACTTTCTTACGGGTACCATAGAATATACGATAACCATGGATTGTCAGCAACGCGAACAGCACGTCTTGCTCATCGGATTTTACTTTCTCGCATTGTCGCAGTACTGTCGTGTACCTCATTCTTATGATGAGACAGTATGATCGCTTGTATGGACAAGAAGACACATTCCAAGCATTCTTTATCCCATTACTTTCTCCGTTACAGCCAGCGTTCGCTCTTCTGCTTTCATCACTGACCATGTTTCGCATCTGCTGACTGCTATATGCCTTTGCTCTTATTTTTATTTTTCAAAATCAGTTTATATTTAAGTTTATTTCGTTCGCTAAATGAAGCAATTTTTGGAGATTTAGAGTACCGGTTGTTCATAAATGCATGTTTTTTTATGAAAAATTCCGGTGTTTCGTTTTTGAAAATAATCTTACACAAGACATCTTAAAATTTGGCGACTTGCCATCGCTTGTTCTGTGTTTTTTGTAAGTGGCAAATATGTTTTTAATAAGATAATAATAAGATTAATAATAATATTTAAGATTTATTTCAGAGGCCTTCCAGCAACCTCGTCCTGCAACGAAATCGTCACCCGACCCAGCCAGAACGGAAGCGTTGTTGTACCCAGCCGTCCTCATGTCCGAAATGTCCCCATACAAATTGTTCCAGCAGCCAGATCACAGCTTCGCATTAGGCCATCAGTATCGAACCC